ATTCTATTTTACTTTGTCATAACTACTTCACTTTACACTAAGTCTGAACTTTATTTAATCATTCAGACCTCTACATAAATTTCTTTAATCATTTATTTGTATATTCGGCCCTAGGTACCATATACTTTCGGCTTCAGGTTCAGCTAAGAACATAAATTTTCCCTCGGCTTTTATAGCTATATTCTATTCTAAGACAGATATCATAGAGCGTTTGGTTCCAGAAATTTAAGCTTTTTTAAATGCTACCTTTTTTCTTCTAAGGAATGTATAACTATAAGCACTTATTTAATTCAGTTATGTATATAATTAAAGCCCAGTTAGTTGGGCGACCGCTCAAGTCTAGGCAATCATCTAAGTAAGTTTTATTTTCAATTTTTCTCCTGATGAATTGAATTTAATCATTTTTCCTCTTACGAATTCTCATATTTTTTTCTTAAATAGTCGCCAATGGCTCGTCAACTTGCCCCTCAGAGTCTCGAAGCGGTTATTGAGAGCACGGAAGGGATATTGGCGTCATTCTTTTACATCCGCTTTCAACTGGAGGGTCGTCTTAGTCGGTCCGATACTGAAGTCCAACACCTTAACGCCAAAAAAGCCATCACCCTTACATGGCCGTGGTTGACCAAAAGGTGCTGTCGGACTCAACAACAAGACAAAAAGAACAACCAACTGGAACAAAGAAGACAGTATTGGCATCGTTCTACATCCTGCAGAATTCGTATGGAATCTGATGACTCTCGTCAGCAAACAAGTCTTAAACGAGCTTTGTATCAGACGGCAAGCAATGTAAACGATTCAATTGATACTCCTATGAAAGGAGTATGGTCTTCCTTACTTCATGACAAAATTAATTCTACGCCCCCAGATGCCTTATTATGGTCAGGCTCAGGAAGGCCAACTCCCCCTTTTTCTATTGGGGTGGACGACTCTGGCCCCGAGAAAGCTAGGCAACCGACTAACATTGACTATTATGATAATTGCAAGGCCGTCTTGGATGCAAAACAAAATCAGACTAATCTGAGCCATACACATAAATTTGGTTCTTCCTTAGCCTGTGTTAGTCTATCAAGCTCTTCTTCATACTCCTCCATACCTTCCTCTGCTCCATTTGCTCAGAAGCTACCACGGTCTATTGAAATACATCAATGCTCAGACCATGTAACCGAAGGCAGAGAGCTTATTAAATTGTCTGGTAGAAGACTAAGATCTAATAGTGAAGGTTCAATAACTTATTATCGAGAGGTTCTACGTTCAGAGAAATATAACCAATGTGACCGTCTACCTCATGTTGCAGTTTCTATGCCTCAGATTGATGCTATGAAAAGACTTGGACAAAGTAGGAGGAGAGTGAAAGACGGGGACAACCGTATATGGATAAGGAATGCTAAATGTCTTTCTAGTGAGCCTTGGGAAGAGGAGCTCAATGAATGTATAAGTAGAAGCGGTTATAAGAAGAGCAATAAGGTTGAGGAGAAAATTGAATTGAACCAAACACAAAATAATGGACTGAGGGATGAAGCACATCGAAAAGTTAGTGCAAATAATCCAATAGCAAAGAGGGAACAAGAAGAAAATAGAAGTGCAATTTGTGTCAATGAGAGGAGCAAGAAGGATGGAGATAAGAATATTTTAGGGACTACGAAGGGGAGAAATGATGAAGGAGAAAAAGCGACGGAGGAAAATTATACAAAGGTTAAGGGAAGTGAGGATCATGAAGGGAATATGGGGCAGGCTAGGGAAGCGAGTGAAGAAGATAAGGAGGATGTGGAAAGCAATGAAGCTAAGAAATTGATATATGAGAACGGGGAACTGCTGGAGGAAGAAAAA